CTCCTGGGGCGCGTCGGCTATTGCTGAAATATCGCTTTGAGGCCTGCAGGTCCTGACGGTGTGCTGGGACGGCTGTGTGCTGCCAGAGGCACGCCGCCGGTGTGCGCCGGTGGCAAACACGTCAGGCCTGGCGAAAATAAAGTATCACGATTACTTTACCAACAATGACAACTTCGTCGGGTTTTTATCTTTTTTTTTTTTTTTCTGGCATGTGTGTGTAGCCCAAGGTTTTTAAACTCCTCTTGTATCTGGGAGCCCATTTCGCAGGGGTGGTTCCCCCAGTGAGGGGTCAAATGTGCAAATAACTGCAAAACAACGGCGTGTTATGAAAGAGTTGGCACTTTTTGTGGTTAAGCTCGTAGCTGTTCTAGTTCCAATGGTTTTATTCTGTGTTTCCTTTTTTTTTATTTGCAGTGATGATAGTCTCTTCGTGTACGATTGCGTCAACGCGGAGAAGGCGGCCTTAGGAAATAAAGGGTGAGGAAATCTACTTAGGCAATCTGCTGTTTTCCTAGAGGGTGCATCTCCTCGTGAGGTAACATGGCAGCGAGGATAATAAAAGAAAGTCGCGGGGTGACTCGTGGATCAGGTGATGGCTGGGTTGATTTTGCTAACCCTGAAGGATATATATGTATGGTTTTTTTGTTTTTTTTTTTTTTCTGTTTCTTCCCAGAGGGAAGACTGTACACCTTTGTCTTGTTTACAGAAACACCGGTAGTATAATCAGTGATTCTGTATGATTCTTCTTGTTCAAGACATTTATGGAAAAATGCTGCATTTTTTATTAGACTATCTAAGACAGTTAAGAAAAAACTGACAAATGAGTTACATAACTCCTCCTTCAGGTCTGTTCTCTAAGTCATGAGATTTCGAAACCCGAAAAAGTATTTTTCTTAGTTTAAATTCAACCTCTGGACACTGTTTTACCTGTAGCCAGTTTTTCTGTTTTCCCCTAAATCTGTGTCAAGATCTGCTAGCACAAACCCTGGTGGGTTTTTATAAGCAGGTAATAATGCAGGCTTAGGTCTTACAGCAGGGGCCTTTTTCTTTGCATTAATGTTCAAGTTGGCCCAACATTTTAAGCACAAAGACAACTTTTAGCGCTGTACTTTGTTCTTTATGCTCCTTCTTGGTGGTGTGAGAACAGCTTTCTCTTCTTAAGGATTTCAGTAGATCTCAGGTTGTGAACTGTTGTTACCCTTCTCTCTATTAGACAGGATGGAAAACCGATAGATAAAGGAAGTGATGACATCCTAGCTTTTGCCTTCTCCCCATCAGGAGATTATTTTGCCTTGACAGATAACTGCAAACGTCTGATCTTGTTCCATACAAAGCCTTCCTGGAAATGTGTTAGCATCAGGTAAGGAAGCAGGATGTTGCATGTCACGTTATTATGGAGTTATGGCTGATTAATTTAGAGTTATAAAATAGTGGGACTTGGGATGCTGCCATTTGTTGTTGCTAAGCTTCCCCCCCCCCCGGAATTCAAAGGTATTTGTCAAGGAGTGATGCATGGTATGCCCCACACCAAGAATGGGAATGCAGATGTTTATATCATTGGCCAAGGAAAACATAATTCTTTTCTTATTCTGAAAGACAGTATTTGCATCTTTGAGAACTGAAACTTTACCCACTCCTAGTGAACACTGAGGTTGCACCTGTAAGAGCAATACTGAGTAGTTTAGTGAGTGCACTGTTTGTACCAGTTGATTTAGAGGAGATGATGTTTTGGGGAGTTTGTCAGCTTCTCTAAAAGCATATCTTTAGAGAAGCTGCCAAGTGTTTCCCTTCTGTAGTACTGTCCTCTTAGAAAAAACAGTCGGTAGCTGTCCACCAGAGGTCCTCCAGTTACAAGTTTTCTGCTGCTGCTTGTGACAATTGTCTGTAAAAAAGAGGACCATGAAGGACTTCCTGAGAAAGTATCTCAGCACGTGACGTCTCGGCTTCTGGTGGGCTCTGACAAATGTGAGGCCCTCCTCACAGAACAAAACGGAGTCTCTGTCAGGTTGGCTGTGTGGGTGGGGGGTACAGGATGGACCTTTGGTGGGTTAACCAATGCGGTAGTGAGTAAGTAATCGCCAACGAAACCAAAAGTGGCAAATTGTGTTCATTCTGCATTCTGCCTTCCCTGCTGCCCTGCCCTGTGTGTCTTGTGTGTAGTATGCCGTTGAATTACTGTTTGATGTTTCAGTTTTCTGCTAAAAGATCAACTAGGACTACAGCTGGATTTCTTGGGAATGTCACTGCCTCCTATTAGGAAACTGGGAATACAGGCAAAAGGGTCTCTGCATGAAAAAAAGAATGCCAAGGTTGAGCTATGTAATTTGTGTTGGTGTTTTGTGGCAAGCTGTATAAAAGGTTTCACGTTGTGCTAGCTTTTGTAGTTAGCTGATTTCGGACCAGGGGAACTTCTTAATCTTTGTGTTTAAGATCAAAGGCAGCACAATGAACTTGGCGCAAGACGACTTCTTGTTGGCAAGGTAACCAATTTTGGAACTGTGTTGCCTGAGCCTGCAATGTCTTAGTAGGCATTCTTGTCCTGTACATTTTCCCGTTGTTACGGTGTTCCTTTGAACAGTCACTAACAAGTGTTGAAGTTACTGTCTTCCTACCTGAAGTACAGTATGTTGTTCTCTGGCTCCAGATGGTCACCGAATTTCAGAGTAGGTGAATAGAAATGTCTGTTCCCTATGACCCCCGGTGTCCACAGTCATGTATTAACACACAGGACGTAGAGGGGTGTGGAAAAGAGGTGTTAGTAAAAGACTAACAGTAATAACAATAGCTGTTAAGTTGCAGAAGCATTCTACAGGCTAAGTGATTAAACCTTTTTTAAAACTTTTTCTGACATATACGGTCCTTACATTTATCTGAAAAGTTTTAAGAAAACTGTTACCTGCTACACTGGCAACTGGAACTATAAGATACTGGCAGATGATGAGGGAAAGTCAGAATTCAAGTTCAGGGCTTTGCCTGGACAAGGTACCCTGAGACTGTGTGTCTCTGACTCTGGATGTGAGGAGGAAGAGTCCCTGAGGCTCGCAGGGAAGGGCTTCATTTTACAGTACGAAGTGGCAACTGGAGAAGTAGTTTAAACACAGTTTTTTTAGATGCGTTGCTGCAAAGGACTTTGACGAGGAGAGCTCCTATCTTGCCTTCTCTTTTCTACGTGTTTAACTTGTATTTTTGTTGAGGAGAGTGCAAGAAAGCCTACAAGTTTTCTTTAGAGTACTAGCAGGCTGCCTAGGCAAAATGCTGAATTGAGAAAGTACCTAAGCAAAATGTGGGCATGCAGCTTTAATGGTCTCTGCTCTCTTTCTCTCACCCCCACGGGTGTTTGCTATTACACAATTTAGTCATTTAATAGGTCTCAGAAGTCCTAGTTTGGCCCCATACCCTCCCTTAGCATTATTCTCATTGCTGCATTTCAAGAATGTTGCATCTGAGAGCTTTTTGTCCACTCAATTGGCTTGTTTAACTGGGTCTGAATCCAGACTTGCTGAAGCTGCCATCCAGAGCTGTTCAAACTCTGCTATTTTTCTTTTAGGTCTGTGAACAGGAGGTGCACTTCCCTGATTATTACAGCTGCAGAAGATAAGATTCTGGTTGCAGACAAGTCTGGCGATGTCTATTCTTACTCAATAACAGAACCCCAAGCAGATGGAAAACTTGAGCTGGGTCATGTGTCTCTGGTATTGGATGTGGTAAGTATTAGTCTCTCTTGTCCCAGATTTGGGAGTTCTTTTTTTATGTAAATGAAGTATGTGGTCTGGATCTCTTCCTACTGAGTTTGTGTCTGCAGAGTTTGGTGAGGAAACAAGCTTACGAAAGGGTTATCCATTCTAGTTGTGTGGGTGTTCAAAAAGTCGTCATGTTACAGTAGTAGAAGACTTGGTGATGGAACATATATGGAAATTCACCCAGTCTGTCGTGTCAGTTGAGCTCTTCAGTGTGATGTGTCTTTCTTTTTAAGATGCAGTGGGATTTCTGCTGTACCGTTGGAGCTCAGTGGCTTTCACTGGACCCAGTAGTCAGTGTCGCTTGTCTTAGTGATCAAGAAAGTTACTGTCATAAAGACTGATGCTTCCACCTAATTAATGCTTACACCTGACATTCAGAGTCAGGAGAGACACAGTTTACTGCTTATCTCTTTTCCTTCCGGTTAGGAAGAATTCTATTAAAACAAACATTGAACTGCTGGGCACTAAAACTCTCCATTTACCAACAGACATTGAGTCCTGATGACCAGTATATCCTGACTGCAGACAGAGATGAGAAGATCAGAGTCAGCTTGGCAAAGGCTCCTTATATTATCGTGTCTTTCTGTCTGGGACACAGAGAGTAAGTTTGTGTGCAAAAGTTATTGTGTGTAGCACTTCACCCCTTCCCTGCTCCGTTCCTTGCTTCCTTCCATCGTGAAGGTCCATCTGGTTCCAGTGATCTGTAGAGTGGAAGGCAGCAGAGCGACCTGCCTGCTTATACCGTTGCGATTTGGATGTGCTCTGACTTAATAGAAGACCGATAGTTCTTTTGGTATAGCAGTAGGAGTTGTCTTCTGCCCAGTTTATCAGGACTTCCTTTTCAGCCTACAGGAGGGACTGTACTTTCCCTTCTCAGTTGTCCTTTCCCGTGAAGAAGACTCAGATGGCAAATAGACTTTTTAAAAAGACTTTTCCCTCTACATTTTGCTGCTTAAAGTGTCTGTTAATTGAGGTATTTTCGAAGTCTTGAGTTTGCCTCCCATCTCTACATGGTTTTGTTGGATTTTGGAGGTTTTTTGTTGTCAGTTGTCAGAGTTTTTGAGTAAGGTAGTGGGATTGTGCAAGTTTTTTTAATGTGATCGCTGCTACATTTTGAAGTTCACGGTGACAAGGTAGCAGAGAAGACGTGGCCCTGCGTAGGGCAAAGAACACGTAATTCTGCTTGTCCGGCTTCTGAGTTACTTGGGGATAACAACACCCTTCCCAGCACGTTATTCTGTAAGATGATGCAACATGGTGCAGTCGACTTACTGTATCAGAAACAAGAGTTAAAGAAAGATGGTCTAACTGGGGAACTTGAGATATGGGTAGGGGGAACTTGAGATATGGGTAGGAACCTGTCTAAACTTACCCATCAAGATGTTTTAATAGAGCATTTGGGACACAAATTAATTCGGAGTGTCAGTCTGATTTTAATAACATCATTTGGCAGCCTAACCTGTGTAGAATTGGCGTAGTATAAAAGCAAGAGACTACTCATGTTAAAGATCTAAGTAGTCTTTGATCAGGTTGGCTTCTGTAGCGTATTTACAAGAGCCATGTCTGATGTTTCCACCTACTGTGTACACAGTTGTACTTTCTAATGAGTAGAACTTGATGGTCAGAAAGACACTTTTCAACAGGGGCTATAGTGTCTGCACAAAGAGTTCATTAGTGGCCGCAGAGTGGAAAGGCACTTAGTGTAAATTGCTTGAAATATGTTCAAAAACTCAGTATTTAAATTAGGAATGAACAAGCAAAGGATTATATGAAGCAGTTATAATTGTTGTTGTGTTTCACGCTCCTGGATTTTCTTCTTTCAGTGGAGTGCATGGTGATTGTTGCTGGATCTATTATGCCTGCATGCACCTGCCATTGCTGCTTTGTATTACTTTGTATTTAAAGTTTGTATTGCAGTGACCAGATCTCTTCCTTCAATTTTTTTTTTCTCCTTTTTCTTTTTTTAATGGCCTTAAAATTATGCCCATTTTCAAAAGCAAGACTGTCGCACTCAGGTAGTGTTCTGCTCAGGTCACTATGTTTTAAGTTGCTGAGCTCTTGGATAATAACAAACTCCAGAAGTTGCTTATTACTCGGGAAAGAGAAGTCACGGTAGACATAGCGTTATTACATACTTCTGAAAAACAAGGTTTCTGGCTGAATGTAAGATGCTGATGGTAAATTGGCACATACTTGTTTTAAAATTTTGTAATGATTGCTTTTGAATGATCCCCAGCTGGAATGGGAGAGGTGTGGTACTCTGGAATCCGAGTTATTGCTGTTGTATTTTAAAAGCATCTGGTGATTCATGTTTTTGATGTTCATCATGAACTGAGAAAGATTGACCTGGGTAGCATGCTCCCCCATCTCCACTGTTGTTTTTTGGTCTAAATGCTAGTGCTCCCAGGAGCAAGTCAGGAGAATTCCTTGAGTGCAGTTGGGGAAGTAATTTTTCTATTAAGTAGAAGGTCAGTAGTTTGTGTAGTATGTATACTAATGAAGTACTGTAGGCATACTTTCTCTTCATCTTAACTGGCTTGATGTGTAGAATCTGTTTGATTGTCTGTTACAGTATTCTCTTTAAAATTGGTGTTTTCTCTTATTGTGTGTGTTTAAAGACCAGCGTGTCATGCAAGAAAGTTCAACTTCTGACTCCTTTCCCTTTAGGTTTGTAAGCAAAATACTTGTAACACCCAACTATCCTGATCTGCTGTTGTCAGCCTCTGGGGTATGTATTGCGATTTCTTAGGGAAAAAAAAAAAAAAAGGTATTTTTCTTGAAAATTTAGACTATAAAAACATTGTTCGCTTGTGTGTCCCCCAAATTCCTTGGGATACTTGGAATAATCTCTTGTGGTTTCCAGCATGCTCTCTCCCTCCCTCCCTTTCTTAGCTTTCTGTTCAGTGTTCAGCCATTCTATTGCTAGATCATATAAACGCTGTTTACTGTGTTTACTGCAAGGCTAGCTTCTTATTAAGATCTCTGGGATGGAGAAATTGCAAAGTCCTCAGTGTTTCTTCATCATTAACTCTTGCTTTGGAGCACAAACAAGCTTTAATCGTTAGAGTATTTAAACAACTTTGAAGGAAATGGGTGTTATGGCAGTCTGCCATGATAGTGTTTTTAGAATTAACGGCCTTGGATTCACAGATTTTAGGTTTTTTTTAGAACTGAGAAAAGATGAGAAAACCGTTGCCTCCTCACCCTTGTGCTTGCTTTCGCCTGTGAGACTAGTTCTGAACTATGTTCTCATCTCTATGTCCTCATGGTATGTCAAGTGCATGTCATGTAGAGATTGCAGTGCAGTGCTGGACGGTGCGTGAATGAGGACTGAAGTGAGTGTTCCCTCGTTTCCTTCCCCTCAGCTCTTTTCTTAAATTGATGAGAACCTGCTGTCATGCCAGACCTGTGCAGAGTGAGTAGATGGAGTTGGTCTAAAAGAAGGGAAACAATATTCTTTGTTTCCCAGACTACCAAAACTGCTTAGGAAACAAATAACTTTTGCTGTGAAGATGTGAAGATCGTAGTAATTCTTAGCATTTGGTTTCAGGTGCTGCTCTTGCTTCCCTGAGGCTCTTGTCTGTTGTTCCTCTAATTCTTTAAGCAACTGTAGCATTAGTGCTGTGTGCGGCTGTATTTCATCCTTAACGAATGCTGTTTGATGACTCTGTTTTTCCAGAGAGGTGTTTAGCTTCTCTCCAGGAGGTTACTAAATCAAATGAGAATTCGGGTGATAACAAGAGTAGGGGCGGAGAAGGGCAACCTAAAAGAATCGCCATTAAAATGCTGAGCACATGTATTACTGTGCTATTTGAGACAGACTTGAAATGCACTCCTCCAGCTACCCAATTTCCATTTCAAAAGGAGAATTAAAGTTAGCATGATTGAATAATTTAGAGTTGAGGGGAAAAATTATGTTAATTAAAATGATTTATCGTCAGTTGGAGGTCTTAACTAAGTGACTGTTTAGCAGCTTCTGTGGGAAGCTCTTCAGGGAAACAGGGTTTAGCGGGAAGGCATGAGTGGCCTCTCTTTGCCTGAGGTGCTGTTAGTAATAGACTTGTGTCTGCTTCCATCTATCCAGGACTCAACTCTGAGACTTTGGGAGTACAAAAGTGGGGAAGAAGTGTACTGCTGTCATCTAAGCAGCATCTGTGGACCTGAGGCAACCAAAACTGACCAGGTCTGTTAGTGCTTTTGCTATGCTCCTGATCCTTGTGACTCCCACATGTGTTTGTTGCATTTTGTTATGAGTGCTTCCATTCTGTCAGTGGGTTTGGAAGTTATGTGAGACCTAGAAACTGTTACAATAGCCTAGGATTTCAGGAAAGGAGTCAGTTGCTGTGTCTTCTGTGCATTTCTAATAAGTGCCAAGCAGTGACCAAAAGAAGCTGTTTGTAATTCTTCCCGAGTGTAAGTTCTGCACACTGGACAAAGCTGTCACTTGAAAATGTTTCCAAAATGCAAGTGCCTTAGTCTCTTAGCCAGAAAATATCTTGTAACATGAAAAAGGTATAAAAATTCACCCATGTTTGAAAATACTTAGAATTGCAAGTGTTAAAGTTGCAATTTATCTGAGCAAAAAGAAGCTTTGTAACATTTGTAACCAGTCACCTGCAATAGTACTGCCCTGTGGTGTCAAAGCCCGGAGCTTGTTCCTTTGGGTTGTTCTGAGGCTGGGCAGTGTCCAAAATTAAAATGAATGAGTCCTATGTGAGAACTGAACACCCCAGGAGCCCTCTTTAGCTTGCAGCCTGTACCTGAGTGGTGTCACACGTATGCACTTGGGGTGCTACTGTGATTTGGGATGCTTATCTGACGTGGGCAGTGGTTCTGGTAGTTCTTGATCTCTGGTTTTCACGTGAATTTGCGTGCGACCTGTTAGCAGTGAAGCAGCATTCATTTTTGTCCCCGCTGTATTCGTCATATTAAGCCAGCTGCTAATCTGTTGAGTTGCTTAAGAGTTGTTTGTCTTACCACTCATCCTGCTGGGTATGTTTTTTCGTGTGAATGTCTAAAAACACTTCTTTCTCTGAAGACCACAGCTGTCTCCCAGTTGTTAGGTGACTGGGAAGCCTGTAGCCGTGCATGGCTCCTGAGGTAGATCCATTGTGGAATTTGTATCCAGGCTGAAATTGATTTGAAAAGTTCTGTTTTTCCTCCCTTGTGTGGTGTTGGGGTTTTGGTTAGTTGAAGTGTGTTGTGCTCAGCCTCTCCCAGCAGTGGGGAGCCATTCCTGGGGATCTCTTGGAGATTTGTTGCTGGCCTGATCTTGTTAGTGGGATTCCCAGTTATGGAAGGACCAAACTCCTAGGGACAGACCTGACAACTTAAGGTTTCTTCTGTGCAGAAAACATCAGCAAGTTGTTTGTGTTGGTGTAATAATGGGCATGTTTGTGTCTCTACATAAGCCCAGGAAGGCAGCCACTTGCATCACAGCATTCAAAGCTTAGCTACTGGAAATCCTAGTTTTGGCCTAGAATTCCTGTTAGTAGGAATTTGGGTAGTATCTATAAGGACAATTTAACCTGCTCCTGAACTTGAAAGTGTACTTTAAAGCACACCTGAGCTAGAGACCTCTCGTACACATTCACAAGGTCTTTGGCTCATTTCAGCTTGAGTATAGTGCTTGAAATCTTTGAAGTAGCTACTGCTGGGCTTTTTCACAAGCAAAAACTGGTGTACCGGATGACGTGACAAGCCCATCTAGCTGGTATCTTCTTACAGTCTGGGTGCAGCGGGATTTGAGTGAGGAAGGGAAAATTAAGGTTGAGGCAAACCTACAAAATTACTTTACCACGTATTCCAGCCTTCTTGAAATAAGAGGCTTGGGGAGTTTCAAAGCCAGAGTGTTTTATGTTTGTGTTCAAGAGTAGTTAATGAGTGCTTTGCTTTGAAATAACGTGATTTGATAGCTATTGAATCCATGTCTGCAATAATGTTGCAAGGAATTTGTTTTGGAGGGAAGGATGGTTTTATTTTAAAATACTTTGCCTTCTAGTTTTATTGGATCATTGAGGACTAGTAAGCAACTAGCTGTGAAGTGGGAATCCTATTATTAATTTTAGAAATGCTACTTGTTGCTTAGACTGGCTTAGCATTTAGTAAGATGGCTTGCATGTAAATGAACGGTGCTTCATCTCATGCTGAATCTGAACTCCATTGCTTACAGACAAGTTTATAAAAAAAATACTGAACTATATAATAAATCTTCAACGTAGCATTGGATAAACTAACAAATGTTAGAGGAATAAAACTTGTTGCTGCAAGCAGGAACTGATTTAAAAAATAATTTCCAACTCTCTTAATGTTTTTGAACACTTTTGAGTGTAGTTTAGAAGCACTTGCCTTGTCTCCTAACACATCTGATAAAGTCCCTTCCATAGGATACTCTTTATGCTGATGGAGTCTCTCTGTAGAAATTTAGGGTGCCCTTTGACTAAAGAGTCTGTGTTTAGGTACTTTACCTTGGGGTGAGTAAGCAATGACAAAGGGAAAACCCACAAACTGTGGGTTAATAAAGATAACACAGCAGTTAATTAACTGTGTTCCTGCAGCATTTTGCAGTTGTTCTGTCCACCTCTGTATGTGTCTCCTGACAGTGGTCTTGGAAGCCAGAGGCTGGCCTGTTCCTTGAATCTGTGAAGTTCTACTTACTGCCCACTCTTACAGGTGTTTGAGAATCTGCCTCTGATGACACTGAATTTGCACGACGCTTGAGGAGTGCAGAAGATTCAGTTGACTCCCAGAGATCATATGTACTTGGAACAGTGATCAGGCAGTATCCCAGTGACTACAGACAGATAAATGACAGATTTAAACCTTAATGTGGTGCTGTATTGCTACACAGCTGTCAAAATGTACTTCTTTCAGAACAGTTGCTGTCTCAGTGGCCAGCAGGACCAAAGGGAAAAGGAGAGTTGTGTTTTGCTGGCATCGTAGTGCTAGAAATGCCAGAGATGAAGTCTGGTGGTAGTATTTATTGTGCTGTGCATCCAGGTGTATCAAAGATCGTTTCCACAACCTAGTGTGACATTTATAGTCTGAGTTTAAAAGAACATCTCTTGAGTAAGCACTTTGTAGGTTGTCTGTAAATGACTCTGGCAGTCAAAGATCAGATGAGGATGGAAGTGTTTTTTCTGTTCTTTTGCATTGCGTTTCATTTCTACAATTGATAACCACTGTGAATGCACTGAAGCTTGAAACACAACTTGAAGCACAATGATAATAGAATCATCAGTAATGGTGGGTCATGTGAGCACATAAATGTGTGCTTATTTTGCTTGGCAGATGATGAATATGTGTCTGTTTTGGGAATGTAGGAGTGTTTTTGAGCAGTGTAGCATTGGTTTCAGCTGATGGCTTGCAGATCCTCCGTTCATTCTCCCACTAGAATGGGAGTAATTCTCTAAATTCATAGTGCTATATAAATATTTTTCATGCTTTGGAGCTTTCACCTCATTTGATCCTCTTGACAACAGAAGCCTGGTTAAAGTCCAGAACATGAATTGCACCACTCTACCCCAGTGCTCCAGTACATTATTTTTTCATAGGGTCAACTCTTCTCACAGATGACATCAAAAGTTAATTTTAAGGTGTTGGCAGGCTGATAACAGTGTCATACAAATGCTGAATAAGTTCAGAGAGTATCAAGTGAACATCTGTTTATCATAGACTGCTCTTGAAGCTCTTAAGTTAACTGATTTCATAGGCTTGTCCTTGAACAAGATACTACTCTGGGGCTTGTATTCACTTTGCTGGTTGTTAAATTACCCACACATGGAAAGGAAAGAGCTTGCAAAGAAGATGCATTTTCTTGTCTCTGTCCAGCTGTGAATAACACTTGGTTCAAATCAAAAAAGCCTCCTCCTCCCTCCCCCGGTGAGGGTGGGAGAGCATACTTAAGTTCAGAGAACCCTTTGTCTCTGACAAAGCACTCAGCTGCGTAGGTGGGCACTTCCCATCCTGCACTTGCCCTGCATGTTTGTCATGAGACAGGCAGAGAGGCAGAGCTTTGTTATTAGAAATAAATAGCACAGGTTTGTGTTATAGATAGATGGATATATCTTGACTTGTTCTCTTAAATATCTAAAGAACTCACTGGTGGTTTACAATAGGAGCTGTCAGTTGTACTCAAAAGCTGCAGTGTAAATGGCTGCATACTGCAATAACTACATTTAGATGTATTAGCCACAGAGAACCTTTCTGATTCAGTCCACTCATCCTACATGGTATTTGGAATCGTGTTTCTTATGTCCGTGGTAAACAGGGATCCTAGGTCCCAGTACCAAATATGGACTAATAGCTTAGTATTTCTGCAGAGTAGCAAAAGATTGGTCCCGTCTGTTCCCAGGAGCTCTGAAACGTATCATCCTTTTGATAATGTTTTTTATAAACTGTTCCTCTTCTGTCCAAACAGGCTATCGAGTCCTGTGAGACTGTATCACACAATGGATTTTATTTTTTTTCTGACGTGCTGGAGAAGCACTGTGTAACCCTGTTTTTCAGCTGTATTTACACCATTAGCTTTCTTTCCCGCACTTAGTTCATGTTTTGGTTGTTGTGTCATGTACTGTTGACAAAATAGTTAGCTTCTGGTATTAAACTTGCTGACTTGTACGTTTGGAAGCTGTAAAGCTTGTTTTGCTTTCCTACACTGATTGCAAAATTCCGTGACAGGCACGCTGACAATGCCTATACATCAGCTGGGAGCTCAAAGGGTAAAATCCCGTGGGTGCTCCCAAATTCAGCTTAAGCTGGTGAACCGGAGATTCTGTCTAGTGACCAGTGTCATGTTAGGGAGACAGATGAAGGCTGGAAAGGCGATAAAAGGAAAGAGGACTTGAGGAAGCATCTGAATTGTGCCGGCAGAGTGTCAAGAAGATGTATTTTCCCTGCCCTGAAGGGAATAGCTCACTACTTCTCTGGTAGGAAGGTTTTATTAATCAGCAGTGCTGGTGTTATCGCTGCTTATAAAATATACTTGAGAAGCAGCCTTTTGCCTTTGCAGTTTCGTCTTTCACATTATATAACAGGTACTTTTGAAAGAGCACCCTAGGGCATCTTCTTGCAGTTTCTCTGCTCCTCCCAAGTTCTTACTTCCCACTCAAGGAGCCTCAAATCAGTTGTTATGTATTTCAAGTAGTATGGTTTGTGCAGCAGAGGTATTTCTCTGGCTCTCCCAGATAAAACTATATATCTTCTAAATTAGCAGTGTGGCTCGGAGTTTTTTGTTGTTGTTTGTGGGATTTTTTTATTTTTAGATGAGGAAAATGGCTTCAGGCAGTCTTGCCTTGTACAGCTTCACCAAGACACAGGTTGAACACGGAAACAATGCAGCAAGGATATTAGCTATGCATCACTATCTTCTTTTTTTAACAAACGTAACAGTAGCTAATGGCTTGTGTTTATCATCTCTAATCTGCTAGTGTGATGTCCTGGCTGAGCAGGCTTAATGTTGATGTTTTTGCCATTATCATTGCAGGAAAGAATGTTTGAAGGGGGTGTACTTTTCATTCATCTGTTAGTTTGTCTATTGAGAGTAGGTCACTGAAAACTTTACATTTGATCTCTGGATGGCTGTGAAGGGAGAAGTGTGGAAAACTTCATAAAGCAGCAAACACTTGTACAAAAATTTACTTGACTGCAATTTAATTGTGTTCCTTGCTGTAAATTAAGACATCTGCTAGATTTTAAAGGCTAAAAATTAAATGGAATGTGGATTTTCTGCCCGGAAATGGTCTGAAATTACAAGGTTGTTTCTTTTTCTTTTCCTAATAGAAATACACTGTGTCAAGAATAACCTACTGCTGTCAAGGTAGTTATGCTGCCATTCTGTGTGACAGGTAAGAGTAAATGGAATAATGGTTAAAATCATAAGCTCCTGCAAAGGCAACAGCAGTTTTCCCCGTTGGCTGTTCTAACTTTCCCCTAGCCTGAGGTACCTGGTGCTGTGGATCTCTGAGTGTCCCAGGCTCGCAGGGAGCCTCTGGGTCCTTGTTGTACTTGGTCTGAGTGCAGGAGGGGAGTGTGAGGGTTACCTGGCTTAGTTCGGTTTTGCAGAATTTGTGATGCCTTTCCCTCACAGGAGGAAGCACAAGGCTAGGATGTGCAAGAGGTCTGCTCAGTGTTCGGGATGTCTCCCTAAATCGCTGCACCTCACCCATGTGTTTTGGGTCCCATTTTGCTCAGGGTGCTGTGGCCAAACTTCTGTTACTGTATTCTGCTCCTTTTTAATGGCTTCAGCTGCTCTGTTTAAAACCACAGCATAGATAGCTTCAGTTTAAAACTCTGAAGAGACTGCGTTGACTTTTGGCTTCAAACATATGCATTTGCCTAAGGAGAGAGCACTTGGGAGCTGAAGGGCCCAGGACCTGAGGAACCTTACAAGTCCAACTGGCAGGGGAATGTCTTGTAGGGGTGGATAAACCCTCTTCCCCTCTCTTTCCACAGCACCTTAACCCTGCCAAGGAAGCTGTTCTTCCTGACAAAAGCTTGCCGATGGGAAAGGGAGAGATTGCCAGAGCTGCCTGTACAGTGAAATCGGCAGTCTGTCCCCTCAGTGGACTTGCCCTTCGCCAGAGCAAGGAGCCTTAGCCGCTTCCCGTCATGGCTTCTGCGTGGGCATCCAAACTGGCCCCGGAAGGGGAAGCTGTGTCAGCCGAGGGCTGTGGCCCTGTCACTGAGCCCAGAGGCCGCGCCGTGCTCTGCATCAGGCTCTGATACCCAGCTCCACAGCCTAGTGCTGCTGAACAGTGCTGTGATGTGGACCTGGTAGGCCACTCGGAGGGAGCTGAGGTGTCCTGCCTGGCACACTGGGGACCTGTCTGAGGGAGGTTAGGAAGCTCTGCTCGTAGAGGCTGTGGCTGTTAGAGGAGTGAGTGCTGGTGGGAGAGGTGGAGATGAGTGCAGTGCCGGTCCTGTTCTTTAGCCGTGTCAAGGTTTCCTGTCCCTCTCATTCCCTCCTCCCTCCCCAGCATGCTGTGGTGCAACACTCCTTCTATAAATCCTTAGTAATCCTTATGAAATTCTCTGTACCACCTTTTCCTTTAAAGAAAAGGCAGCCTTGATGGCTTTTTTTTTTTCATGTAACACTTGAAAAGCCATTTGACGTGTTAGATATTTACAGCTTCTGTGTCAGATCATGTAAGCAAACTGCACTTGAAGTGCTAGGGTATTTTTTGCAATTCCTAATGACTTTGCTTTGGCTCTGTTTGGAATCGGAGTGGGTGTCTGTAGTTTGCTGTACAAGTGATGGCTGTAGGTGGATTTGGTAATAATGGTAATTAAGGTTTTCCTCTCAAAAGTATTCCCACAGTCTACGTCTTTCAGCTTGATGCCATTGCCCGGCAGCTAGTTTACAAACAGAAAATCTCTTTGAAACACAAAGTTTGGGACATTGCATTTGAGGAAACGGGGGATCTATGGATTTTGCAGGAAGACAATGAAGCTCCTCTTCAATTGTACAGACCGTGTGATGGACAGTGGAAGGTAGATACTTTTGTTATGCTAACATCCTGACTGTTTTGTGTTGTCTTGAGTCCATAACAAAAATGGAGTAAACTATGTTCCATGAAAGCTAAATGTCTTAAGACTGACTAAAAGTCATAGATACACATTTCATTCTGCTTCTTTCACCTGTGTATAATGCGAAGCTGCTGAAAGCTGGTTATGAATCCCAGTCTCTTCTCTGGTAAAGCTAACATCTGGTGTGGCAGGGTCGAGCGGAGTGGTTGTCAGCTGTTGCACTCGGTAATTTAAACCATTGCTTGTACGGTCTGCGTGCTACACTTCATTATTTAAAAAAACAAACAAAGCATGAAACAACAAAATCCCTTTGTGGTTTGCTCAGGAATGCTGTCCACACAGCCTTCCCTGTGTCTGCCTCTGAGGGATCCTTTGGGAGACAAGACGTGCTTGGAACATTAAGAAATTTTCTGTTTCATTGAGAACAGGGAGTCATATTTGAGGGATGTGCTATGAAGTTCTCTGTAATAGCCTATTAAACAACTGGAAACTCACTTGTCCTTGTAAATCCACAGCTAGTTATGGTATAGTTGTGAAGTGGTTTTAAATGAAACTTCTAAGTATGTTCTTTGACCCTTACATATTGCTCATGATATTCCTTTTCCTCACAGATTAGTAAGTAGGAATCCATTTTTTTCAAGCTGCAAAGCTTCCGCAGGAGAACATGTGAACTCAGGCCATCTGATCTCTAAAAGAGATCATGGGGGGCTTACACTTCCTCTTCTTTCACTGTACTTGTCTGAGACCTATTGCATTTTCCACTGTGCTGTGAAACATGAGATTGCATGATATATGGGGAATAATAAACAACGTTCCTTCTTTTCCCAGCCTATAACTGATGACAAAGGATTACAGAAGATGTCAAAACATCTTCAAGACAACTGGACAGTGTTTGAAGGTGAGAAATTTGGCCTAAAGGCCCATGAAATGCAGTCTTTACAGCTAAAGCACAAGATTTAGGTGCAAGATCAGAGTTCAGGTCAGTTCAGCTGGCTGTTGAAGTCGCTTAATCCTTCAGTTTTCTCAGTTTCATCACTATCTGGTACGGAAGTTAGTGCAGATTGTGAATTGTGTTCAGGTTACTGTTACTGCAAAATGATGTAGGTTTTTGTGTCTAAATTATAGCATTATGACTGTTTCACACAGACAACTTATCACAGGGATGTATCTAAACTCCCCTTGACACAGCTCCTGGAGTATGTCTTGCTGCTGTGGTACCAAACGCTGTCCTTTGTCATCTTGTCTCTTACCTGGGCGTGACACTTTATCAGAAGTACGGTGGGGACAGTAAGAATGAAATAGCCATGGAAGGAGCACCTTGGCTGTAAAGATGGGCCATTCAGGTCTGTCTTGGCAAGGCAGATTATCTGAAGCTTGCTGTGGCTGGAGGATGTGACCCTGGATGGTGTCACAGAGGAAATTGATTGGTATCAGGGCTGGTTCATTTTGTTCTTGACTTCTGCCCCACCCCCAGTCTCTGCCAGAAAAATAGTACATAGTGTGCTAGTTCAGAAGCACCCTATGTTTCCAGGTTTTTTTGTATTTAAAAGCCACCCAACTTTATTTAGAAGCTGAAATTATGGCAGTGGTATCTGTGGGTTAGAGAAGGGTTGCAGCACGTGCTAGTGGATGTCTCAGTATGTGTTGAGAGTTGATTAATTCAAATTTCGCTCCTGTACTTTGGGAGACTGGGAACCTTCCTTAAAAAGGTGTTACAGTCCACGCTGCTCTTGGTGGTCATAGTGTGGTGGGTTGACTCTGGCTGGATGCATGCCAGGTGTCCGCCAAACTGGACAGGGGAGAGAAAATACAACAAAAGGCTTGTGGGTTGAGATAAGCACAGGGAGCCATGACTCACCAGTTACTGTCACGGGCCAAAGAGGCTCAACTTGGGGAAATCAGTTTAATTTATTACCAATCAAATCAAAGTAGGATAATGAGAAATAAACTAAATGTTAAAAGGCACCTTCGCCCCCACCCCTCCTTTCTTTCACTGCTCAACTTTACTCCTGTTTTTCTCTACCGCCTCTGCCCAGGCGGCGCAAGGGGGCTGGGGAATGGGGGCTGCGGTCAGTTGATCACACTTTGTCTCTGCTGCTGCTTCCCTCTCGGAGAGAGGACTCCTCACACTCTTCCCCTGCTCCAGCATGGGGTCCCTCGCACGGGAGACGGTCCTCCACAAATTTCTCCAACATGAATTCTTCACACGGGCTACAGTCCTTTGCAAACTGCCCCAGCGTGGGTCCATTCCCTGGGGTGCAGTCCTTCAGGAACAGGACTGCTCCAGCGTGGGTTCCTCATGTGGTCACAAGCCTGCCAGCAAACCTGCTCCAGTGTGGGCTCCTCTCTCCACAAGTCCGCAGGTCCTGGCAGGAGCCTGCTCCAGCATGGGCTTATTGCAGGGTCACAGCCTCCTTTGGGCACATCCACCTGCTCTGGGATGGGGTCCCTTCCAGGGGCTGCAGGTGGAAGTCCTCCGTGGACTTCAGGGGAACAGCGGGCTGCAGGGCAGTCTCTGCTCCAGTGCCTGGAATGCCTCTTCCCCCTACTTCTTCACTGACCTTGGTGTCTGCAGAGTTGTTTCTCTCACATATTCTCTCTCCTACTGCAGTTACTGTTGCACAGGTTTGGGTTTTTTTCCCCTTCTTAAGTGTGTTATCCCAGAGACGCTACCACCATCGCTGACTGGCTCGGTCTTGGCCAGCGCTGGGTCTGTCTTGGAGCCGGCTGGCATTGCCTCTGTTGGACATGGGGAAGCTTCTAGCAGCTTCTCACAGAAGCCACCCCTGTAGCCCCACCGCTGCCAAACCTTGCCGTGCAAACCAAGTACACATACATAAAGATGGAAGAGGTGCAGTGTGATGTAAAGTCTCCTTAATATCTAGTATTAGATGGTTTAGGGTGTAGCTGTCATGAAGTTGATCATTAAGTTGTCCTGAAGTTGATACAGTCTTTGAAATCTAGGAGAAGTCAGGTACCCCTTTGGAAGGGAGAATGCAGATGTTGCAGACTTGATAGTTACAGCCTGGCAGACAATTAGAAGTATGAGATCTGAGTGAAAATAAGCAACAGAGAAGTAAGAAGAGCAGGCAGGGGAAGAAGTTCTGAGCGTAATTAGCTGCTGTAGCAAATTACTGTGATACACGATATCCAGCTGCATCTGCAGCTGGGAAAGGACTGCTCAGATGACAGGGTCTATTATTGTTAATTAGTAAGAGGAGGCGCCCTCGATGACCACTTTTTCCAGTGCATAATTAGTGCTTGAAAAGATAGTTAGTTCTTTTAAAAAAGGCGATCATTACATTGTTTAAACCCAGTCTTAATGTCTGTGTATTGTCCTTTTATAGGCTTTTTTCACCTGATTGCTGATTCTGTAGGATTTAAGATGCGTAGGTCAATCTTGAAGTACACGTTGAACTGTTTGATGTTCTGTTATAACTGATCCCAGAAAAAGAGGGAGCAAGATTTAGTGCAGACTGATCAAGTCGAGCGTAGCATCGATATTCAGACTGACAGCAGGCAACTTCTCCCAGGGCTAAAAGCCAGTAAATTGGTTACTATGTGAATGCAAGACCCTCAAAAGTAAAAGCATGCGCTTTGCTGGATGGCCAGCAAGGGAGAGTTGCTTGGTTTGCCTACCAAGAAACAAAGGGATGCTGTCTGTACACTTACTGTGGAGTAGCGCACTAGCTTTAGGACCAAACCCCAGCAAACACTGGATTTCCTTGCATTTGCCCTTTAAGATCAAGAATTCTTGGAAGTGGGAAAAGGTAAGAATACAAAGAGAACTAGAGGTAACTGGCCTTGTCAGGTACCACTCTAATACTTTTAGAAACATGGACCTAGCTAGCTAGTCTTGTTCTGTATTCTCTACAGAAACAATCTCAGTGGGGTTTGGGGCATAGTAGTTTGTTCCCCGTTAAATACCTCAAAACTTAGTCTTGGAGATGGTGTGATGAATATTGTGCTGAATTCGCAGAAGGTGTAACAGAAGTGTCTGGGTGAATATTTAGAAATGTGTGTGCGCTGTAAGACATTACTGTTTGAAGTCTGCTTCTTTGGGTTCCTTTTAAGCTAATACTCTAGGAGACCAATCAGCTAAGCACAGTGAAGTCGCAATACACCCTTTGCAGTGCTTAGGTCTTGGGTAACAACTCCGATGGGATGTCTAACAAAAAGTTGCAACAGCAGTCGCTTAAAAAAAAATAAAAGCCTTGAAGTCCGCAGATGTCCAACATGTAAGAGAGCTGTGTGCCCCCTTTGCTTCAGTGTCAGGTGCTTGCCTCTGCGTGAGTTTTTTAGTCTAAAAATGGAGGCTGCGCTTGCCTGTGTGAATGCAGGATAGATGCTTGCCAATACAAACCAGACGTACACAGTGTAAATGCTGATATTTAATAAAGCAGGTAGACCACACTGGATGAGTTGAAATGCCACTATCTAGAATTACAGCACAGGAATTAATTGCTGAGACTGCGAAGGGAATTAACACTTGTGTCGTGTTCTTGCTTTGCCCAATTGCAGCTTTTGTTGGCGCAGAGAGCCGCTACAGCAGTCTGTACAAGGCTTCATTTGATAACACGGCCGACTACCTGCAGAGGAAAGAGGAGAGGTTACAGCACCAGAAAAAGAAAAGGCAGGACCTGCAACATGGTTCGAATGGACAAACAAAAAAGATGAAGACTGAAGAATCCTCGCTATGATCTCATTGTTAGCTTCTGACTTTTGCCTTGGTGAAAGGAACTGATCCGACTGCGGACTGTTTTCAAATGTAAAATGCGTTATGTAAGAAGACTGGTTTAAATTTTAGTCAGATTCAGATTTTCAGGTAGCCTGATACGACAATATCCCGCTTGCAGCAGAAAATGTATTTACAACATGCCTGGAGATGGTATTTTCCTTGAAACAGGATTTTCTTTTTGCCTACTGTGTTCAGGCTTGCTTCTTCAGGTGGAAGTGCACTGATTAAAGTTGATGTGATTTTTTTCTTGTTGTTTCTTTTGGTTTGTTTTTAACTTTTTAAAAGATCTGTTAGTTAAGGTAACTAACTTAGTGTACTTGGCTATGGGAAAGGGAATGTAGCGAAATTCTTGCTGTGTTTGAAAGGTTTTAGCTGAGACTTCATCTCTCGTTTTTACTCTTTACCCTCAGTTTATATGGTAGGGGTTCTGCCTAGCTTCCAATCCATTGCTTTTTACTTGTGGCATATTTCTGTAGCAAGGAGTGAAAAAATAGATTTTATACACTGGAAAGTAAAAGTAAAATTTGTCAGTCAACTTTGTGTTATTGGGAGATCCTTCTGTTGCAGTATGATCCTAGTGTCTCTGTGAGGATGATTTGAGAGGCCTATGAGCAAAACTTCAGTGCATTCTGCGTCTTTCAACAAGAACTCTTTCATGTGCCAGTTAGCCAAGGAATACATCGTTCTGAAAAGTTATCGGTAAGAGCCTTATGGGATCGCTTGTTGCATCATCTCGGGGCAGAAGATACGCATTCATCTAACAGGTGACGTCGTGTCTGTATGGAATATAATGTATTTCATAAAACCAGGTGTAGAAATCTGTACAATCCATTAAAAATATTCAGAATTAGCCAATGAACCATGAACAGTTCTCTAGGTCTCTTTACAGAGCTGTCCTCTGGAATATCTGAACACTTAAAAATTTTGCACTCAAATTTTAGTCACACCAATGTGTAAGACATTATTGAGATGTAGCTTGTTTTGAGAATATTAGGTATTCAGCAGTGAAGCAGAACTTGCTGCTTATGTCTGCTCAAAATTGCAGGCTTGTTCTTGCTATGGTCCCCAGCCCCGGGGTGCAGCTTTGTGGTCGTTCAGGTGAGGAGACTGGTTGTGCACAGGTTTCAGCAGTAGGACCTTACCAGAAGTGGGCCAGTACACACACTGCTTGTGCACGAGACAGGGCAGGAGGAAAAAGCTGCAACTAGACTTTTTGCTGGCTGTCGGTGAAGAAACTTCTTTACTCAGCATAAAACCTGCTGACATATGTAGCAAACTGCAGAATTTTTGAATGAATTTGACTATAGCAGGAGTCTGTATTTGATCATTTCTGTGTGCCACAAGGTAATGCTGTTTCTGAAGTGGTGGTGTAAGCTGGAGGCAGGTCTTTTTTTGTGTCGTCAAACCTTTAGTCGTGTCGTCTGAGATAAGGAGGGCTGGTCCAAAGAATTGCTGCTGGCGCTCTTGCCTGGGCCTGGGAGAGATGCAGGGATGTTGAAGGCTGTGAGCTTGTGGGGCTTTCCTGCAGGGGCTGACAGGGCAGTTTGCCTGCTCTCCACGGCACTCCTGCTCACCACAGAGGTTTCTGGCCAACCCTACCTGCTCTTTAGCAGCTTTGATGTTGAATGTTCCAAATTCATGCGCACAAACAAAGCCATTTACTCATAGAGGAGGAAAATCTTATGAGGAGGACGCTGATAACTGCTTCCAGGGGGTTGGTTGCTGATCCCGTATGGGGTTTCAGCACGAACGTCGGTATTGTTACGCTTCCAAAGGATACGAGCCTGCCGTGTTGGCGATTGCTACCTCCAAGGGATGTTTTCCCTAGCTGTTTTCTCAGCGCAGGATAGACCTCAGCAGTGATCTTCACTGGCTCTGCAGTGTTCTTGTGATCCACACCCTGCCTGCTTTCCTGGAGGAAACCCAAACTTCTTCCAACGCCTGAACTCATGTCAGATCACGGCATGTGGGAGTGACACGAGACGTGATATCTGCCAGACGATTCAGGCATTTATGTGCTTTTTCCTGCAAGTTTTTCTTTCCTATTCCATTTTGTGTTTCCTTTTCTGTACGCGACAGTTCCTGAGCTGAAGTTGTGAGGCCGTGCGTGTCTGTGATTTGAAGGGCTCTGTGAGAAGTGATCGGAGAAACGAAATTTGCAGGAAGGTTTAAATCCGTTGTAGCGTGCCTACACCTTGGATGGAAAATGGTTAGACACCCGCAGACTGTTAAAAAGGAGTGAATGCCACTGCCACGGAGAGCGAGACAGCACTCCTCTCCCTGGTGTTTGAACTGTTTATTTCTAGTGGTTAAACCTGATGTTGCTTGCTGGTGTTTATTTTCTGAACTTGAACCGAAGTTCATGCGTGTGTGCCTAGCTGAAAGGGAGTGGGTCTGCTAGGGTGTAGTTGTCCAGCAGAACTGGGAAACCTCAAACTGTTGCGAGGGGTGTTTGTAGGCCATGTAAGTTCGCCCCACGCTGTGCTAGACTTCTTTTGTGGTGATTGCGCAACTCCCCTGCTTCTCTCCTGAGCACTGACAAGCCAAGGAGCCTTTAAAAATTCAGGTAAGGAAAAAGCAATACCGAGTTTCTTTTCCTCAGCATTTTAAATCAAACCATATGCTTCCTACCCCCACTGTGGGGGGTTTCACTGAAACCCCTTCAACAATGCGTTGTTGAACAGAGTGACCTTTTATCTGTCTTAGCAGGAAGGAATCCTAATCAAATGCAGCCCAGTAGCATGCTTTAGAACAACCCTTACATTTTTACCAAAACTTTGAAAGTATATTTACTCTGTTTACAGACATTTCTGTAAACAAAAATGTTCCTTTCTTTAAAAAAAAATCCCAATACAATACAGTTGCTTTACCCTCAGGCTATTAAAAAGTTGCTGCCAATTTTGATACACTCCAAAGGCTGCTTCAGCTTTCTTTGCTGAAATATTTTGTATGAAGCGCTTTGATCTGAAAAGGAAAAGCCCTCTGGGCTTCACTCTTGCTGGTTGTCCCTGCTGCTGTCAGTCCCGGTGATGTGGTGTGAACCGGGCCAGGATGACTCGGCTGAGTGTGGAAGTTCGCAGAGGAGAACAAACAGGCTGGACATGGTTTGTCAATAGCTGTAGATGCAGAGGCTGGAAAGCAAAATGGCTGGAGAGTTGAATGGCTGCAGAGGCTGGCAGATCTCCCTTTCCAATGCATTTGCACAAGTTACCGTTCACCTCTGAACACCGGGGTGCTGGGAAGTCCTGCAGGAGCTAGAAGTAAAGGCTCTTCCGCTCCTGAAGCGGGTCATTGCTTGACATCCCACATCAGCGCTTTTTTACCCAGTGACCTTCTGCATACCCTCTCCCCTCAGTCCGGTCAAGGTTGGAGTAGAAATTCTGTGGAAAAAGAATGTCTTGGGGACTAGCATGACTCTGAAAGGCAAAGGAGCAGCTGAGGGACAAACCAAGGGCCACAAGCAGGTGAAACGTTCCTGCAGAAGGCAGGGGCCTGCCCATGAGGGTGGTGGCGGAGGGCACACCAACGTGGCAGCAAGCCCTCGCGGGCTGGTGCCAGCTGAGCAGGCACGCATCGGCTCCCCGCAGAGGAGCAGGGCACAGAGCTCAGCCTGGCAGTGGTCATGAGCACTCACCTCCACCCCTGCCGCCCACAGCACCAACGCTCAGGGTTTGTGCTCCGCGCTGTGGCTGGTTTTGCCTTTGCTTTCCTCCCTGGCATCACACTTTGCTTCGGGCCGAGTCACCCACCCCGGCAGGGCCTGTGACAGGGGTGGTTCTTCTCCCGGGCGCCTGTGAGCGTGAGCCCCGTTTCGGTGCCGAGGTCCTCCAGCAGCAGCGTCACGGCTTGTGGCCGGTGCTGGGGACGCCATGCCCGATGCATGGGCAAACACCCCCCACTGCCAATGGTGGCTGCACAGGTCTCGTGTAGCGTGGGATGCTCAGGAAGCCTGTGGTGTCAGGGCACCGCATGCCACAGGGGTTGGCAGCTAAAATCCATCGGAGCTCTCGCCTCCACATCGAGCTGCGCTGGCTGCAGGAGCCTCGGAGGCTGGACCACAGCTGTGAGGAACCACCACGCAGGTGAAGAGTGTGTGGTGTGGCCTGATGTTTTGAGTTCAAGGCAAATCACAGCACCAGCAATGTATTTCTTTTAAAACTGTATTTTTTCCCCCCACCCTTCTTCTGTTAATAGGTATATGTGTCTGCACCTGCATGAGACACGTGTTCCTGGGTACATAAATTGAACATGTGGGAGAAGCTGCCTTCCATTTTCTAGTGGGTATTTACAGCCTTGAGTCTCGAGGACTTCCGGTAAGAGTTCATTAAATTGCGTGGGACTGATGTTCATTGGATATGGAAGTTAGGTACTGTTGGTTGTTTAATTCAACTTTTAATTCAAACAGTATGTGATAGCTAGGTGGATGTATATGTGTATATATATACATATATACATATTCAACTACATCAGCAGCAAAAGGAAGGCTAGGTTCAATGTGGGGCCGCTGCTGAATGAGGTGGGTGTCCTGGTGACGGAGGATGCAGAGAAGGCAGAGCTACTGAATGCCTTCTTTGCTTCAGTCTTCAGTGCTAAGACTGGCCCTCAGGAATCCCAGGCCCCGGAGGTAAGAGAGGAAGCC